CCATGAGGATGAGTAACAGATAAGTCAACTAAGGTGAGAGTTATATTGTTAGGTATGATCTCTCCCAAATTTAATTATTTCGCCTTATTAAGAGGCATTAAATTGATACTCGACCCTAAATCAAATAGAGCAAGTGGGATTTCTACCCCACCAATAGTGCAAGAGGTGGTAAACTTACCTGAATACTTCAGTTTTGTGGGCATTGTTTGGAGCAATGTCGTATTGCATTTCTCAGTCATATTTACTTTCTCTTTACCCGGCTTCTGCTTTGTACCAGTTAATAACGCCTTCATAAATTTAGAAAATTTTGGCATTATCTCTGAAACTTCATGAAAAGAATAAAATTTGTCGTTGGCTCTAAAATTTTGGCATTGCCTCTTGAGTCCATCAAATCAAATAATAACTAGTCAGAAACTATACCAAGGTATCCCTTTTTCCCGTCCTCTCCTACGTCTAGGACTTTCGGCCAGATCATGGATCCTTGTAATGTAATTTGACATACGAAATAGATTCGGATTCAAGGTGCTTTACACATGAATCTTCGCTACCCATGGGTCCACCCCCATCACAAGCCTTTACCTGTAGGTTCTATTCATGCTACACACGGGAATCAAACTTGTCAAAGTAATAGTGCATACATTCCGGAGGAGTGCTCTACATAAGTCTCAACTCTAGGAACAAAACATCTCAAGGGATTGTTTTCGACTACATGATAAATCATAACATAACATCGAATGGAGTCAAATTCTAAGGGATACCATCAATCTTTTGAATCGCCACTTCCATACGCTTATGCAATCACTAAGGATAGCGTAATTATATTCGGCAATCACAAGGTATCACATTCGCCTTAAACATAACAACACAACCATACATGTTTCATAAAAATCTCTCCTCAAAACTAGACAACTACTTTTCAATAATACACATCTAGAAATCCTTGCACAAGCATTGCCATTTATGTTATTCATCATGACCTAATCATCTTACTAATTCATTTCATTAGTTAACATCAAGGGTTTCCTCACCATTCTCATAGTCTTTTAAGCATGTTATCACACAATCACATTCATACATATCATGCATAAACACTTACAGTAAAATAGTATAGTACATCAAGCATAAACATCTCACATAAAGCATAAAATCATCATTATTTCTCTACCGACATTCTTGGTTAATTTGTGTTCACATAATAGATAGGTCTTTTGGAGCCAAGCCCTTCACCAAAGATCAAACCAATCACATAGTGCTCAATACAATACTAGGTGTTCATCTTCACCTATTCAGATAATATTCCACATTCTTTAAATTCAATTTCTGACGCTTTCGACTGTGCCTCGATTCGAGTTACGGTTTAAAAGTTATGAAGAAAACAAAACATGAAGTACACTACATGGTTCATAGTGCAAAGCCTGTGCGAAGTCCTTCGCCTTGAGTTCGATGTGCGACCTCTAGGAGAACCAAGAAAAATGATGGCAATAGCGAAAGGCCTTAGTGTTCGATGTGCGAAGGCCAGGTGAACGCTCGCTTTCACTTTGTTGCCAGCTCACAGTGCGAGCCTATACGTTCGAGGGAGTTCGCAGTGCGAAGTCTGCAAATTGGGGATTTCCAACAACGTGAGAATACTTTCTCCCATGGATAAACTCCAAACATATTATATAATATTATCCAATGGTAAACATATTATGTAACATATTATAATAAACTCCCTACCACATTTATAATAAACATATTATATAACATTATCCAATGGTATGAAATATCCCCAAATGATATTTTGTCATCTACCACCTATTAGCCAAATATTAGAGTTACCAAAATATCCTTTCTTACAACTACCAATATTGGTCTATCTCTTTTAATAACAATTTGCCTCTTCAGAGTCTGATAGCTACTCTATTGGTCCCAACTGATGACACTTAGAGAAGTTAAGAGCTTCAATAAATCCAACTGATACTCAATTGGGCATTTAAGGAAATATGGGGTATTACACTCATGAAGTAAATGAGCAAGTTAAAGAAACTAAAGTCTTGGCTTTAATCTAGAAGTATGAATCCTTCAAAATGGAAGAGGATGAAATGATAGAGGAAATGTTCTCATGATTTCAAACTCTTGTAGCTGGATAATTTTTTTTGAATAAAGGTTATACCACTTCTGACCACGTAAAGAAAATCATCAAAAGTCTGCCAAAGAAATGGAGACTAATGGTGACAACACTTAAGATGTCAAAGGATCTGAACAACATGACTCTAGAAGAAATTATAAGTTATTTAAGGAGTCATGAGATTGAACTTAAAGAGGATGAGCTCGAGAATAAATTTAAGTCTATTGCTTTGAAGTTCAAAAGTAAGCCTAAGAAGGCCAAAGCTTTTCATGTTGAAGAAGAAGAGTTTGAAGAAAGCTCTAAAGAAGAAGACGAGTTATCTTTACTCTCTAGAAGGGTCAACCAACTCCGAAGTAAAATACATACAAAATTCAAAGGCTACAGAAGAACATGTGGATGATATGAGTCAACCTCTAAGTAGAAGAAGTATGAAGCTGACAAGGATGTTACCTGATTTGAGTGCAAACAGCCTGGATATTATAAAAATGAGTGTCCCGAACTCATGCCTAAAAATAAATTCTTCAGAGAGAAGAAGAATATTTTGATGGCAACCTGGGATGGCTCTGAAGCTTTAGAAGATGACTCTAAAGAAGAGTAGGCCAATATGGCTATGAAGGCTAGCATAGAAGCATCTGAATTAGGATCAAAATCATACTCCAACTCTGACGAGGTATTTTCTCATTTCACTCATTCGAAATTAGAAATAATTCTTGAAAATAGTCAGAAGTTTCAGTAAAGATAATACCTCTGAAGGAGAGTCTGAATATGTAAATGACTTTGACTTTGAAGGTGAGTCTGACTTTGATGTTGGATCGGACTCTGAAGGTGGTCCGCACTCTAAACATGGTCCAACCTCTGAAGATGGAGATTTTGAAGGTTTCCTGAGGCCACCGAGAGTTAGATAGATACCAAGGAGAATTGCAGACTTTGAGTTACTGTAAGATACTGAGATTGATTATGAAGGAGAAGTCATACATAGTGCCATGATAGAGGACTCTAAACCTGGCAACATTAATGAGGCTTTCAAGAGGAAGGTATGGGTGAATGTCGTGAAGGAAGATCTCGAGGCCATGGAAAGAAACAAAACATAGTAATTGATTGTTCTACCTCAGAACAAGAAAGTCATTAGTGTGAGATGAGTTTTCAAGATGAAGTTGAAGTCAAATGGTTCAGGTGTTAAGCATAAGGCAAAGTTAGTAGCTAGAGGATTCCTACAATAGTCTGGTTTAGACTACTTTGAAGTATTTGCACCTATAGCTAGACATGAAACCATAAGGTTGACTATTTCTATAGTTGTAAATAGGAATTGACCTCTAATACACTTAGATGTAAAGTCATATTTTCTGAATGGTCCATTACCAAAAGAAGTTTATGTGTTAGAACCTCTTGAATTCATGAAATAGAACAAAGAAGGGTTGGTCTAAAAGCTGCATAAAGCCTTGTACGGACTGAAATAAGCTCTAAGGGTTTGGAATCTCAAGATTGATTAATTATTCAAGCATTTGTGGTTCAAGAAATGTGAAATGGAATATGGTGTGTATGTAAAACATATTTTTGAAGGCAATGTAATTATGGTGTATCTTTATGTAGATGACATGCTTTTGACAAGGAGTTGTACTTCTGAGATAAACAAGTTCAAGAAGGTGATGATGAATGCATTTGATATGAATGACCTTGGAAATATGGTATATTTTATAGGGATGAAGATTATGCATTCTGAGAAGGAAATTATTATGCACCAACTAAAGTTTGAACTTGAACTGCTGAAGAGATTTGAGCTGATGAATTGTAAGTCAACAGTCAAACTTGTTGAGACAAATCATAAGCTAGACTCTTATTCTGATGGTGAGAATATAGATACTACAACCTTCAAATAGTTGGTTGACTGCCTGAGATATCTATGTAACACCACATCTGACATTTGTTATGCAATTAAAATGGTGAGTAGGTTTATGAGTAAATCAAAGTGGTCATAGTACCAAGTTGCAGTCATAATTTTGAGGTATGTAAAAGAAACTCTAAGGTATAAAATTTTGTTTCCATCTGGAGTGTCAGATGTTGTTGAGTTGATATGCTAATCAGACTCTGACTCATATGGAGACAGAGCGGACAGAAGAAACACTACAAGATACATGTTTATATATCTTGAAGCCCTTATTTCTTGGTGTTCCAAGAAGCAACCAGTGGTTACATTGTTAACCTATGAAGCTGAATAGGTAGCTGGTGCTTTGTGAGCTTGTCGGGGTGTTTGACTGATAAATTTTCTACAGAAACTGAAGTTCAAGATGAACAAACCAATCATCAATGATTGACAATAAATTTGCCATTAATCTTACTAAGAATCTAGTGTTGCATAGAAAAAGCAAACACATTGATATCAAATACTACCTATGCAATCAAGTTCAGAATGAAATACTTGAAATTGTTTATGTCACTACTCAAAAATAACTTGCAGATATTTTCATTTCATTTGTAAATTGTTTATGTCACTACTCAAAAATAACTTGCAAATATTTTCATTTCATTTGTATTTTCATTTCATTTAATTGTGCTTATTTTTAAAATAAGTTTTTATTTGTTCACTCAAAAAGTTACTAGATTATTCTTAATATAAAATATTTTAAATTTTGGTAATAATTAAAAATTATGCTTATTTTTAAAATGAATTTTTATTGGTCACTCAAAAAGTATATTTCAAAACAAAAAAAGTCGAAATTTTTTTATAACAGGAGAAATAAAAAATTAAAAAAGCAAAAGTACAGAAAGAAGAAAGGTATTTTACCTTATTTATTCACATAAAAGGAAACACAACTCGGTAGAAAGTACAAAGTTATATATTTATTTTCTTAGTATATATTGTCCATGTCCCCAACAACTACTATCACTTTACATGCTAGAAAGGACTTGGTAGCTTAACCTCTCCCTTACGAGAAAGAGGAATGGTGAAGTTACCAACAACAGGAAGATCAATAACAAGACCCAAATCCAACTGATAGTCAATATCCCAATCAGCTCCAATATCCTTTGCCAAGCTCATCAATATACTATACGGCACCTTCACAGGTACATCCACCATTGTTGTGTCCTTTGCTTTCAATGAACCCGGATCTGGTATTATCCCTGATGCTATCTCCCTTTCACCACCCAACACAAAAAACAATAGGTCAAAAACATATACAGAAGAAAACCCTGGGAAAAGATTGAACTGAGTAGTACTACTACCTAGTGGCGCTTTTGAATGAGTAGTTGATCTCACAAATGGGGAGAGCATGTGAATAAGGATTATGAACAGCGACCTTGGCCAAGTACTCGACATTGTTCATGGTCACGCGCGTAAAGTCGACGTCGGTGAGACTCGCTTCAGGCTTGGCCACATCGCTGATTTTATCAGAGACGAAGTTCTTGGCTTTATTAACCAACTGCGACATTTTCAAATACTGTGGTGAATACACACGAACCTATGTTGAGTATGAATAAGAAGGAACACATGGGTTTTATAGTGACGGAGACTGAGTCCTTTGTGTGAAGCTTGTCACCCTACGAGGTTGCTCCTCTTGATACATGTGTGTATTATGTCGTCGTTTTGCTTTTCTGCTAACGACACGTAACGTATTGTATAGCGGCAGAATGAATTTATATACTAGGAATTGGAATTTCGGTCACAATTAGAAGCGGTGCCTTGGGAGTATGACTAAATAATTGATTTATAAACAATTATGATTTTAAAATATTTATGTTAGAATAAAAAGTTAAAGAGAAAAACGACAAGTGTTAAGTGAATTTACTTAGCTACTCAAGACTTATTTTTATTTTATTTATTATTAACGGATTAAAATGAGAGTGCTAAGCGCATGGATAAGCTTTTAAAAGTTTACAGTTTCAAAATCTTCAAGTTCTTTTGCTTAATTTAACGTTGTCTAGAACTTTAATTAGAACTTGAATCATTTGACTGGTGAGAATTAAGATATCTCTTCTTTGTGTAGATCACATCATTCGAGATCTTTGAAATAGTGTGTTTGTTATGATCAAAATCATTTGACAATTGTTATCAACTCCTCCTTTGACGGTTGTCACTAAGAACTCTTGAAAGAGCTATTATATATCACCAACACCAAAAGTTGTTTGACCTAAAGAGTTGTATCATGAAAATTAAAGTCGTTTGATGATATTTCCTCCACAACACATAGAACTACATACTCCTTTTTTTTATAATAACACCACAAATTTCAAGGAGGTGGTAAAACATAAAGAGATAAATAAAATGAATGGAGTGGTTAACTCTCCATCGGTATTATCAAAAAGACAGAAAACAAAAAATTAAACATCACATATATCACATTGAGAAAGAGAATAATCACTTAGCAGATTAATCCATGCATGATTGATTTAAAATTTCTAACTTTGTTCATATGAAAATAAAAGTTTCGTTAGGAAGAGGTTTTGTAAAATTATCTTCCAGTTGATTAAATGAAGACATAAACTCAATTACACAGTCCATTTTAATAACATGATCCATAATAAATGGTGGTAAAACATAAAGAAATATATAAAATGAATGGAGTGGTTAACAAACCCCCCCCCCCCTCTCTCTCTCTCTCTCTCTCATAGATAAAGAGAGTATATTATACTCTCTTTGAGAGTATACTTCTCCCCATTGGTATTATCAAAAAGACAAAAAATAAAAAATTAAACATCACATAGATCACATAAATCACATTGAGAAAGAGAATAAGAAGGATAATAAACACTTAACAGATTAATCCATGCATAATTGATTTAAAATTCTTAACTTTGTTCATATGAAAAAAAAAGTTTTCGTTAGGAAGAGGTTTTGTAAAATTATCTCCCAGTTGATTAAATGAAGACATAAACTCAATTACACAATCCATTTTAATAACATAATCCATAATAAATGGTGTATAAATCTCAATCTGTTTAGTCCGAGAGTAAAGTTCTTGTTTTTTAGTGATATTCATGGTGCTAGTATTGTCGCATTTTATGGATCCATAATCACTTAACTAGTATTCCGGTCAAATAATTTGTACACAACAACTACAACAGCAACATATTCTGCTTAAAGTGTGGATAATGCAACACTTGCTTATTTTTTGTTATGCCCTGAAACAAGAAAGAGTCTAAAAAGATGACATGTATTACTGATACTTTTCTGACTCAATTTACAACCAACAAAATTAGAATTAAAGTACACAACTAAAGCATAATATGTTCCTTTTGAGTACCTGATAACTCAACTATTGTGAAATATTTAAGCTCTTAATTTGAATATTTATCATAGGCATGCCTAATTCGGATTAATTATTTATGTTTTACATGTATGAAGCTTAATTAGTAATATGTATAATATGTGCTCTTTCTTTTAGTTTTAATGTGTAAAAAGTAGTCTTAATGAGAAGTTCTATAACGACAAAAATATAAGACCAATACCATCACGCTTGAAGAAAGAAAAAGCAGATATAGTACTTAAGTGACAATGTTAATGCTGATGTGGAACAATTGCAAGCAAATAATTTAGAGATGATTTGTAAAGGATAAAGGATAAGGATGAGCGATAGAGAAAAAAAGTCTGAAAAGCTACTGTACGCGCTGCCACAAGCCTACTAGCACTTAACGCGAGTCTATTGTAAATTATGTTGTCTCATCTAGGGCTGGACAACGGGCCGGGTTGGGCGGTTTCGGGCTCAAAAGCCACACCCAGCTCAACCCGCGGTTTAGATATGTAAGCCCATTTCCATAATTGGTTTGGACGGGCTGAGTAAGTACGGGTTGCGGGTTAATACACACGGTTCAACCGGGTTATTGGGTTCGTTTTTATATTGAGTCCAATAACACATTTTGACCTACAATTTAATTCCAACTCAAATCTAAATTACTAAATACTAAATTCCAACATAAATCCAATAAACTAAACATAATTCCAGCACTAATACAAAATATAATCCAACATAACATGATTACAACAAATTACTAAAACTTAAATAATAATAACAATGTTATAATTCTAGCATTAAGATGAAATAAATTCAACATAACATAGTCCAGATTGAAATTGCAAAGGTGAATATTGGAGATTGCAAAGGTGAATATTGGAGATGCCTGCAATAATATTCATAAAAGAAAGTAGATTACTCAATGGAGAGATTATTTTACTAAAAGAAAGACAAATTACATTGCATATTTTCAATGGAAAGTTTAAAGAATAAAAAGTTTGAAGAGAATAGTGATTAAAGTTCTTTTCATATAACAACACATGATTGCATCAGAATGGTGTCAAAGTTGCTTCAAGATTGCAAGATTGAACCACTAGCTGTAGACTTGACACAAAAAAGCTCAGCACTAGTGTGCATCCTGAGAAAGACGTATCATAAACAATAAGGCATCAAAATACAATTGAGAATACTAAAATTTGAAAATAAGCTATATGGAAACAAACCTGCAATCTTATGAACGGATCCGACAGCACTTCATACATATTGACGAGCCATGTCAGCAACATTGTCACACAGATAATTCTCTGAACTGCAATAGTAAGGACAGATCTAAGGTTGTATCTATCACCACCTTCACTAGCCGCACGAGCAATACTAGATCCCACTTCAAGTGTTGATGCTAAATCCAATGTCCTTGATGCAGCCAGACCTTCCCGAGATGCACAACAAAATAAAACATAAATTATTTAATTGAACTTCAGTTAATATAGTCTTTGCAATTATACAAATAAAATATTTATACTAGATCCATTCATAACAACATTTGATACATACTAGTATTGAGATAATAGTAAAAGATGACAAAAATATTATATTTTACTTCAATTTTAAATAGTGAAACAAAATAAAACAAATAGTTTATAGTAAATAGACATTATTTTATATTATTATGTGTCTATTTATCTATGTCAAGTCACTGAAACACTTTCACTTTCTTTCTACCCCAACTCCCCCTGAAATAACGAATAAGCCATTATCACGCATAGTTAGCAAAATGTGATCCAAATATCATTAAATTGTTCTATTGGCATAATTAATTAGTATTAAATCCAACTAATAAACCACTAATGATAATTAACATAATAAACCATTAAATAAATAAAATGCATAAAAACAAACATTTCTCTATGATATCTAGACAATAAAGTAAAAGCATAACTTGTACCGGTTAGAGTTTTTTAAGTTGTGTATCAAGCATATATAGTACCGTTAGAGTTTCTCAAGTTGTGTATCAAGCTTACAAAGACAATGAAAAAGTATCATTATAATAAAACTAAACAAAGTTTGTGAGTTACATATCATAAAGAATATTTAAATAGTTTGTGTGAGATATTGGATCGAACTCTAGTATAGTCGAAGTCTGTTTGCGAGTAATGCGTGTTGTAGTCGAAGTTTGTTCTAACATGCATTAGTCAATATTGCTAGGATTGTTAGCATGTTGAATTGGGCCTTGCTTGTAAGCCCAATTGTTTAAGTTAGCTTGTACCCTAAGTTAGCTTGTAATGGGTAATTGTTAAAAAGCCCATTAGGTTAGTGTGCTATTTTATTATAAATAGGATGCTAGTTTCTCAATATTGAGAATAAGGAAAAATAGGAAGATAAAATCCTAATTTCAAGGGAGAGAGGTTATTTTGTTATTCTTGTATACTTGTAATCTTGTTATAAGAGAAATGAAAGAATAGCAGTTTAATAACCAATCTTTGTTGTTCCTTGTTGCTTTCTTCTTTATTAACCCTAACCCTTGTGTATTTCTTGATAAGAAACCGTTTATACTTTGTTTAACGGTATCCGATTCACAACAAATTGGTGCGGTGAGCGTGGAGAAGATGCCTTCAACAAAGTATGAGATTGAAAAGTTCACCGGAGTGAACGACTTCGGTCTGTGGCGCTTGAAGATGAAAGCCCTGTTGGTTCAGCAGGGTTGTTTGGAAGCATTGAAGGGTGAGGCAGCCATGGACGCTGCGTTAACGGCAAAAGAAAAGACGGGCATGATCGAGAAAGCCCACAGCGCAATATTGTTGAGCCTTGGTGATAAGGTTCTTCGACAGGTATCAAAGGAGACTACAGCATCGGGATTATGGGTGAAACTTGAAAGTTTGTACATGACCAAATCTCTGGTGAATCGACTATACCTGAAGCAAGCTTTATATTCATTCAAGATGAGTGAAGACAAAGTGTTGGCTGAGCAGTTGGATATGTTCAACAAGCTGATTCTTGATCTTGAAAATATTGATGTGAAGATCGATGATGAAGATCAAGCACTGTTGTTGCTGTGTGCTTTGCCCAGAACACATGCTCACTTCAAAGAAACTCTCTTGTATGGAAGGGAGTCCCTGACCTTTGAAGAAGTTCAATCAGCCTTGTATTCTAAGGACTTGAACGAGCGAAAGGAGCATAAACCTTCGACGGTGGGCGAAGGTTTGGCCGTTAAGGGAAAATTCTTGCGAAAGGATGGTAAGTTCGACAAGAAGAAAGGTAAAAGTCAACAGAAGTCTTATAGTGGCGAAACATCTAGTATTCGATGTTATCACTGTAAGAAAGAGGATCACATAAAAAAGGTGTGCCCTGAACGCCTGAAAGATCATGGAGGTAATGGCAATGCAGCCATTGTTCAAGATGACTTCGACTCATCTGATGTTCTTGTGGTCTCAAGTGGCGACTCGAGGAAAGAGTGGATTATGGATTCAGGTTGCACTTGGCACATGACTCCAAACAGAGAATTGTTCGAGGAGCTATATGATCAAGATGGTGGATTTGTGCTGCTAGGAAACAACAAATCTTGCAAAATTGCAGGTATTGGATCTGTGAGATTCAAGCTCCATGATGAGTCAATAAGGTTATTGACTGAAGTCAGGTACGTACCTGACTTGAAGAGAAATTTGATTTCTCTTGGTGAATTCGACAGAAAAGGATATGTTTTTCAAGGAGAGAAAAGTATCCTAAGAGTCATGAAGGGGTCGAAGGAAGTCTTGAGAGGCGTGAAGAAACAAGGCTTGTATACCCTTGAGGCTGAGGTTGTAAGTGGTTCGACAAATGTTGCATCCACGAAATCTATGTCGAAGACAGAATTATGGCACATGAGATTGGGTCATGTCAGCGAAAGAGGCCTGGTCGAATTGGGGAAGCAGAACCTGCTAGGTGGTGACAAAGTCGAAAAGTTGGAATTTTGTGAATCTTGTGTATTTGGTAAATCCTGTTGGGCAAAATTTAACAAAGGCAAGCAAAGAACACATGGATCCCTGGATTACATTCATGTTGATCTTTGGGGGCCTGCAAGGAATCCTTCACACTCAGGTGCAAGGTATTTTCTATCCATCGTTGATGAATATTCCAGAAAGCTATGGGTATTCATTCAGAAGACGAAGGATGAAACTTTTGAGAATTTCAAAAGTTGGAAGATTCTAGTCGAAACTCAGACTGGCAGAAAGGTTAAGAGGTTGAGAACCGACAATGGCCTTGAATTCTGCAACGAAGCTTTCGACAGTTACTGTGTTGGGTATGGGATTGCAAGGCATAAGACTGTAGCAGGTACTCCTCAACAAAATGGCTTAGCTGAGAGATTCAATCGAACAATCCTTGAAAGGGTTAGATGCATGTTGGTTAGTGCTAGATTGAAGAAGGTGTTTTAGGCGGAAGCTGTTTCAACAGCAGCTTACCTGATAAATAGATGTCCCTCGACTGCCTTGGGAATGAAGACACCTGAAGAAGTTTGGTCAGGACATCCACCTAGTCTCGACAGACTGAGAGTATTTGGCTGTGTGGCCTATGCTCATATTAGGCAAGACAAGGTCGAACCTAGAGCTCTGAAGTTCATGTTCATGGGATATCCTGAAGGAGTCAAAGCTTATAGACTATGGTGCCTAGAGCCAGGTCACAGAAGGTGTATCACCAGTAGAGATGTAGTTTTCAATGAAGCAGAGATGACTTTCAAGAAAACTGATGATGCTAACGAAGAGCTGGAACAGGGAGAGATTCCTGTTGAGGTGGAGCATGTTGATGCTGAATTGCTTACCCCAGATGAAGTCGAAGAAGACGCAGAAGATGCTGTCGAAGATGAGGAGACTGATAATGACTACCTGCTAGCAAGGGACAGGTCGAGGAGAGTCATCAAGCCACCTCAGAGACTTGGGTATGCAGATCTTATAGCTTATGCCTTAATCTCTGCTAGTGAGGTTCTAGATGAAGAACCCAGAGACTATAAGGAAGTTATGAGGAGTCGAAAGAAGACTGAATGGCTGAAGGCCATGGATGATGAGATGAAATATCTTCATGATAACAACACCTGGGAACTGATCAAGAAACCTGCTGGAGTCAGGTTAGTCAGTTGTAAGTGGATTTTAAGGTACATAAATGGGTCTCTGAATAGAGTCCTAATTTATGGTGGAGTCTTGGGTGAAGATAGTAAAGCAGCAATCGAAAGATATGTCGACTCTGATTATGCAGGTTGTATGGATTCCATAAAATCTATCTCTGGATATGTGTTCACTATGTTTGGGACAGCAATCAGTTGGAAAGCAACACTTCAGAAGGTCGTTGCCTTATCAACCACTGAAGCGGAGTATATTGCCCTAACTGAAGCTGTGAAGGAAGCATTGTGGATTGAAGGTTTTGCAAAGGAGCTAAAACTTCAAGGTCAAGTTATCACTGTTAAATGTGATAGTCAAAGTGCAATACACCTGTCGAAGAATTCAACCTATCATGAGCGAACCAAGCACATTGATGTGAGGCTGCATTTCATCAGAGGGGTAATCGAGCGTGGAGAAGTCCAAGTGCTGAAGGTTTCGACAAATCATAATGTTGCTGATATGATCACCAAGACGTTGCCCAGTTGCAAGTTTTTCCACTGTATGCAGTTAATAAAGCTGCATGAAGAAAGTTAGTTTCTTGATGTTATAGAGTTAGATCCAATGTGGAGATTTGTGAGATATTGGATCAAACTCTAGTATAGTTGAAGTCTGTTTGTGAGTAATGCGTGTTGTAGTCGAAGTTTGTTCTAACATGCATTAGTCAATATTGCTAGGGTTGTTAGCATGTTGAATTGGGCCTTGTTTGTAAGCCCAATTGTTTAAGTTAGCTTGTACCCTAAGTTAGCTTGTAATGGGTAATTGTTAAAAAGCCCATTAGGTTAGTGTGCTATTTTATTATAAATAGGATGCTAGTTTCTCAATCTTGAGAATAAGGAAAAATAGGAAGATAAAATCCTAATTTCAAGGGAGAGAGGTTATTTTGTTATTCTTGTATACTTGTAATCTTGTTCTAAGAGAAAGGAAAGAATATCAGTTTAATAACCAATCCTTGTTGTTCCTTGTTGCTTTCTTCTTTATTAACCCTAACCCTTGTGTGTTTCTTGATAAGAAACCGTTTATACTTTGTTTAACGGTATCCGATTCACAACAGTTTGCAATACTTCTTTTGCATTATAATTCTTCTTTTCACTTAAAAAAAATCAATTAAACCGTTTGCAATACTTCAATATTACATGAAATATATTGTCACTTACTTCAGTCAGACAGTAAATTGCCATTCAAAAAGACATGTTTTGAAATTTTCAGTTGACACAAAGTTGCAAATCAAAACTACAAATATTAAACTAACTAAATTATGCAGACTCACACTTTGAGAGGTGGAAAAAATATTAGTTGCTTCGTAGAATAACTTTAGAAAAGCATCAAAAGCCCTAGCAGTGTCCCAATCATCACTACTAGGGGGATTACCTTTTCCAAAGAACTCCCTATAACTCGACTCTTCATCCTCAAGCTTTTCAAAAGAGAGTTGAAACTTCTCTGCAGCCTCTAGCATTAAATATGTCGCGTTCCAACAAGTTGAAACATCAAGACATACTAATTTTTTGCAAGTTATCCCAGCAAATTCAATGCATTCTTTAAAATTGGCTACCCTATGAGGTAAGGACTTAACAAATCCAACAACATCCCTAACACTAGTAACAGATAAATGTTTATCTTTCAAACCCTCATTTACCACCAAGTTCAAAATGTGAGCAGAACGCCTCATATGAAAACACTCTACAATCCCTTAACACTTCTTCAATCTTCCTACCAACAGTTTCACCCTTGTGGTTTGGAATTACGGTGAAGTTGTTGCACCCTAAAATTTGACCAACCAGTTCTCCTATTTGACTCATGGTTTAAATTCATATTCGCAAATCAGACAGATGATTTTTGTGCAAAACAGGGGATATCAGAGTTTACAGCTTGACTTTCGTCTATCAGATATGGCAGATTCAGTCCAGATTATCGGGGTTTTATTTTCGGGAAATTGTGCGCTCCTCGGTGATTTTTAGCTTGCACAGTAATTTTGAGGATATTCTGATGCCCGGGGATCTCTGTTCGATTCGATCTGGTCTCGTGCGCTCTTTTACGGCGGTCATTTGCATTCATCTGCATTTTTAGGATTTTTATAGACTTTTGCGGATTTTTAATAGGCTTTATAGATTTTTTCTGGAATTTAAATAGGTTTTTGAATATTTTAATAGCTTAATCCTTTTTTTTAGAATTTTATAGAATATTTTAAATAGATTTTAATCATTTGTAGAATTTTTAATAGAATTTAAATAGCTTTTATCATTTTTAGAATATTGGTGAATTTTTCTTAGCATATTAAATAGAATGATACAAATTAGGGTTAATAGAAATTAAATAGTTGTTTAGATAATATAGGAAATATTATAGTCTTAAATAGATTTACTAGTTTTAAATAATGGTAGAATTTTTAATAAGGGATTAGGATAATATAGAATTAATTAGACATTTAATCACTTTTTAGAGTTTAATTAGGTTAATTGTTTTTTTTAGATTTAATTAGGCTTAAATAGAGTAATTAGAGTTTTAATCTTTCTAGATTTGATTAGGGCTTAATTTTTGTTTAGAGTTTATTAGTTAATCATTAGATTAATTAGTGTTAATTAGACATTAATCAGATTTAGTTAATTGTTTTTAATTCAGTTTTTTTTCAGTTTTTTTAATTCACTTTCGTGGGCCCAGGAGGTGCCTTTTGGTTGAGGCCCAGTTCTCAAATGATTCAGAAAGTCCAGAAAATGGTCCAGCAATTCTCAGATTTTTTTCAGCCATTTTCCAGCCAGTTACGGGAGCTTCTAGAAAGTTCTAGCACTTTCAGTGGCATAAGTAGTGACGCCACGTGTTGCTTGGAAGGAGGCCCACACGTTGCGCATGCAATCACCCACCACACACTCAGAATTTTCCCAGACTCTCACACGTGTACCCCACCTGTCCCCCACTCTCTCTCTCTCTGTGCAACGGCCACCACGTGTCTCCCTCACAACCTCTCACCGGAGAACGTCACCGGCCGGCCTGCATGGCCGGCGACCGCCATAACCTTCACCGGTGAACTCCAATATCCCCAGAATCCGGTCGCCTTCAGCATCTCCCTCCTATCTTCATCTTCTTGCTATCACCAACCGCCGCGCCTGAATCACTCCGGCCACCATCAAACCCAGAAAAACGCCAGAAAATTCCAGATCTAACCACTGATTCATCCAACCATCTTCACATAATCTTCATCCACCTCCACCACGTTTTCCAGATCGTTTCCAGAATCATCACCATCTTCATCTTTTTCCAGGAGTTCGTTCAAGATTCAACAAAACACAGAAACCTTCATCATATTCGTTAGCTTCTTCAAGGAATTTCCAGCAAGTTCATCAACAAACTCAAGCACACTGTCGTCTGCTAAGAGTTTTTCCCCAGGTTTTTCCAGATCGCGAACGTCTCCAGAAATCCCCCAGCAAGATCTCAACGCGAAGGATCTCAACCGAACGTCTTCAAGGATTGCTTCAGCGAATCTCAACCGAACGTCTTCAAGGATTGCTTCAACGAACGTCAACAGTTCACGGCGTCGTTCATACATCAAGCCAGGTACGGCGTTCTTCCACTCATCGTTGTTGATTGTTGAATGTAGGCTCCTATTAGGATTCACAGTTGGTGCGTGGTTTAAGACTAGATCTTGAGTAGTGGATTCTTGTGAGGGATTGAGGTGTTTGGGTGAGGAATTGTTTCGTTTAGGGTTTTGTTTGGGTTGATTGAGATCAGATAGGTTGCAGAGAAGAGATAGGGTGGAGAGGAGGAAGATGACGAAGCGGCTAGGGTGAGAGTGAACAGTAATTAGGGTTTGGGAGAGGGATTTTGGTTTTGTTAATCAGTTGAGATTGGATTAGGGTTAGGACATTGGGCTAAGCCCAAGTGTGAATTACTGAACGCTGCCCCATTATTGCTTGTCCCACCCCCCTTAGCGTATGAGAGACAGAGTAATCAGTTTGGGCCTTAGGCCCTAATTACTAACGGCACCCCCTCGTCCAAGCCCATAATGATAATAACTGAAATAAGCTGCTAACGGCACCCCCCAGGTTTTTTTCTGCTTGCTGTGTTTGTTAGTTATTTTTGGTAGCTGGGCCCTGCGCCCAAATTGCTTTTAGCACCCCCCAATCAGGGCCCAATGTAGAATAACTCATAACCATTGCTGTTTAAACCCCCCCCCCCAGCTTTATTCCATTTTCTTTTATTTTTTTCTTTTATATTTTCTTGTATTGCAAATAAATCATAATAAAATGAAAATAGGTGATTTTTTTTTAATTCTTCTTTTTTCAGCCATTTCATGAAAATGTTTAGAAAATTAAATAAAAATAAAAATGACATTTTATTTTTGTTTGTTTTTTTGGTATATTTTCCATTTAATTGATTTTTTTTTAATATTTTCAATGCATGCATATCATTAGAAAATTCATAAAAAATGGTAGATTTAGTCAAATAATTCCGTTCTTTTTTCTGTAGACTCGTAAGTCAGTGTAGAATTTTATAGTGCAGAAACCTTAGCTTAATCATGCATTTTCATTTTAATTGCATTTTTTCACTGCTATTGATGATTGAATAAATTGGTGTGGACATGTCTGTGTTGCTGATTTTGGTTCTTTCATCTGGTGTTGAATTTTGTTCTGATTTTTCAGTACGTTGTCTTAGAGCCATGTAGGTCTCCCATTAGATTTTTGACAGATTTTTGTAGGGTGTTCTGATGTGATTTGTCTGAGCCTGAAGATAGGAGAAGTCTTGATGACTTCTGACTTTGAAGTTCAACTGTGGTTGAACTTCAGAGATAGTCTCTTGTGGTTTATTGGCCTGTGGGTTCTTCTTGAGGATAGGAGCTGGTTGAGGTCCTGTTGGAGCTTGCAAGGAGGCAGTGGATTGAGGCTTAGTCTAGGAGCTTGTTGTCTGTTTGTGAGGTTCGAGATCCTGAAGTTTGAAGGGAGTTTATGGTACTTTCCTGGGGAAGGCACTGTGAATGACTTTCATTCTTTCTTCTCACCTCTTTCTTAAGTATCCAATGATGTCGGAGCCGACTTGTGAGTTTAATTTCTCCTGAGGAGGAATGTAAACTGATCACATGTTGTTGAGCCACATGGGATACGATTCCTAAGTGGAAGTCTCCTAGTACTTTCCTGAGGAAGGTCCTATGGGTCTATTCACTTAGTTCCATTAGTTTGTCTAGGATTTCTTAAGTATCCAATGATGTTGGAGCCAACTTGTGAGTTTAATTTCTCCTGAGAAGGAATGTAAACTGATCACAGTTGTTGAGCCACGTAGGATACGATTCCTAAGTGTCAGCCTCCTAGTACTTTCCTGAGGAAGGTCCTATGAGTCTGTTCACTTAGTTCCCTTAGTGCATATAGGATTTCTCAAATATCCAGTGATGCCGGAGCCTTCATGTGAGTTTAATTTCTCCTGAGGAGGAATGTAAACTGATCACAGTTGTCGAGCCGCATAGGATATGACTCCTGAGTAGTAACCTCCTGGTACTTTCCTGAGGAAGGCACTATGAGCTTGTCTGCTTAGCTTCCTTTCTCTGGTAAGCTTATTCTGAAGCTTGGAGACTGGGATTGTTTCCTCTTGCTTAGGGTTTTGATTAGAGTTGTTGCTTAGATCTTTGCTTAGGGTGCTGTATAGAGTTTTGTTTAGAGATAGATTAGGAGCTTGTTTCAGGTTTGTTAGAGGCCCTGCTCAGGGTTAGTCTCTTTGTATTGTTTGACTTGTGTGATGTTATGTTGCATTAGACTTAGGTATTCATCTAGATAGTTCTGAGTAGGTGCATCTTAGAAGTAGACTTTGTGTGCATGAGGAGTTGAGGTGGTCCTCCTTCTGCTTGTTTGTTATTGAGTGGCTTTGCTTGTTGGTATTTGGTAGAGCTGAGCTCCCTTGCCTCTGTGGTTTGCGGCCTTCGCGCCTTGTTTGTTTAGTCGTTGCATCCATGCATATTTTCAGTACTTCTTTACTTTGCAGTTTCTTGTTTGTAGTTTAGTCCTGTTGCCATGATCCCTTAGGAGCTCTGACTTCTCTGCTGCGGAGTTGTTATGATAGACATTAGGATGGTCAACCAGGTGTGATAGCAGTAGGTAGATTCCCCTGTTTCTCAGCTATAGTTCTAGGGTTTCCCTTTCCTTTCTGTAGGAGCTTTTGAGTAGCTTGACCCGTAGTTAGCTGAACTACAGCTGCTCTGATTCTTCGTTCCAGACGAAGATATGTAGGCATAGGATGCGATATCCTAGCGAGCACACTAACGACTAACCTTTGTTCTCTCGCGGCTGTGCGATCGAGACTTTCCCGCTAACGACTAATTGTTATCCTTTCCTCTTGCCCGAGCGCATTTGAGACCAGATCGTATTTGTAGGTTCCCGAGCTTTAGGACCAGTTTGTTTTCTCACTGCTGTGTGAGAGCCCCCCTGTTTACCCGTAGTTAGCCGAACTACGTTTGCTCTGATCTTCCATACTGTGTGGAAGTACGTAGGCACAGGACGCGATGTCCTGGCGAGCAACCTTTCCCCCGTTTAGACGTAGGAAGTCGAACTACGTTGACTCTGACTTTCCCATTGCACGAGGGAATACGTAGGCCCAGAACACCGTATGTTCTGTCGAGTCCTGTCCTTTTGTTTTCTTTTCAGACCAGCCATTAGCGTAGATAGATAATACACCCTTTTACCTATAAACACC